GCGGCCAGGAGACCGCCGCTCCGTGGACCGAGGACCTGGAGGTGACAGAGGACGAAATGGCCGGGGTAATCCGCCGATTGAGGCTACGGGGCAATAAGGCCCCGGGCCCCGACGGTATCCCCGGCCGGGTCTGGGTCATTGCCTTGGCCCATCTGTCCGAGCGCTTGAGGCAGCTCTTCACGAGCCGCCTCAGGCAAGGTTTTTTCCCCCCAGCTTTGGTAAGGGCCAAATTGATCTTCATTCCCAAGGTGGGCAGGCCTGGGAATTCCCCTTCCGCCTACCGGCCAATTTGCCTGCTGGACGAGGCGGGCAAGTTATTGGAGAGAGTTCTGGTGGACCGCCTCGTCCGGCATCTGTCCCGGGGTGGTATGGACCTTCACCAGGAACAGTATGGATTCCGCGAGGGGAGATCGACGATCGACGCGATCATGCGCGTCCGAACCCTTGTGGGGTCCATCATGGAGGAGGGCAGGGTGGCGATTGCGGTGTCATTAGACATCCGCAACGCTTTTAACACCCTGCCCTGGAAAAGGGTGAGGAAGGCCGCTGTTAGCTTTGGCCTCCCCCCCCTACCTGGTGGAGGTCCTTGGAGCGTACTTCCGGGACAAACGGTTGGAGTGCACCGATGGCGGTGTACTCCTACGCGGAAGGGGAGTGTACTGCGGGGTTCCACAGGGGTCAGTTTTGGGCCCCACCTTGTGGAATCTCGCGTACAACAGACTACTAGGCACTGCCCTCCCCCCTGGCTGTAGTGTCGTCGGATACGCTGACGACACAATAGTGCTGGCTGGGGGAGATAGCTGGGGGGAAGCCGTGAGAACGGCCAACATCGCGGTGGCGTGCGTCGTTCGCACGATTCACGGCATGGGCCTGGAGGTAGCGCCTTACAAGTGAGGCGCTCTTCCTTTATCGGGGGAAGCGGAACCGCATGCACGAAGCCTCCCCGGAAACGGCCCGTGTCGTGGTGGATGACACCTCCGTCTGGGTGGGAACCCAATTGAAATACCTGGGTCTCTACCTGGACGCTACCTGGAGCTTCGGCGGGCATTTCGAACGTCTGGCCCCCAGGGCGGAGGCAGTGGTTCAAGCTTTAAGCCGTCTCCTGCCCAATTTAGGGGGGCCGGACGGGAAAGTGCGCCGCCTATATGCGACGACCGTCCGGGCGGTGGCCCTTTACGGGTCACCAGTGTGGGCGGATGCCCTGATGGCGAGTAGGCGCAGCATGATGCTGCTGCGCCGAATTTTCAGGCGGGTCGCCATCAGGGTTATTCGCGGATATCAGACGGTGTCGTATACGGCGGCCTCCATACTGGCGGGATTGCCGCCCATCGAGCTCTATTACATCTTTTGTTCAGTAGGTCATAAGCTACAACATATGTAAAAACCAATTGATTTGACCGGGACAGATTTTTCATATGATTAGTGCGGGGTTCTTTAGTGCGTATTCGCTCATCGGCGTATTACTGTCGTATTTATAAATTCCCGCGTATATTTCTTCGCGGAATCGCGCTTGCTGTTCTTCGCCCCAGAAATGTGCTTTGAACGCGTAAATCGCTTTGCTTATATTCTCCAGTTCTCTGACGTCGAACCAACTCGATGCCATGCCCCTTACGCAACTACCGAAATAATATAATTGCTCTGCGTATCCTACTTCTTCGTACGCGGCAATTCTTTCAAATTTCTTTATAAATTTGACCGGGTTCTGCGGATCGTTCCTCCCCGAATAACTAAGTTCTCCGAATGGATTTTTAAGCCAACCACCCTTTGGCAATCTCGCGTTCACGACGGTATTTCCTCCTACTTTAATCTTGGGTCGCGCTGAATCCTCCCTGGCGTAAGACATTTTTTCGCGAGTCGTCTCACGCTCGTCCTTTCTTTTTTCGCGAGGAGATTCATCGTTGCGCACCTCTAATGCTTTCGCCGTCGACATACTTCACGCAGAGATTCTGAATCTTTATCGTCTACTCGCGAATAGCTTACATTTCTTTGTTACGTCCTGGCGACTCCACGATTCCGTTCTTCCGCGACGTTGCGGTAACGATCGTCAGTTGGTGATAAGAACGAACCGTTCAATAAGCAAAGCATTTTGTGCCATACGTTTCTTTTAAATACTGTCATTTGTCAGTAACTACATCCACGAGTATCCGTGGGAAAGACGCAAGAAAATCGGTGATGGAAACCATGCCGGTCTCCTTGAGATAAATAAAAAATAATAGATACCCCTTACAGTAGAATTTTCCGACGGAAGAACAAGGAGATAATAAGAACTTTTTAATGAAATATTTAATAAACGCAGCTGCAATAACATTGATAATAATTTTCTAACGGACAAGTACAACGATAAAATCTCCTTGACGAAATATTTTAGAAACACAGCTGCATCAACGTCGACAAAAATAATTATAAAGAAGTAAGACCCTTTTCATAGTCCCTTTAATCAGTCTCGTGTGCGTGAATAATATATAAAGAGTAAAAGTCGTAATCAGAAAGAAGAAGTAATCAGTTCAAAATCACTGTCCTCGTCTTGGTGTCATCTCCAAAGCAACCCGGCAGCCGCACAGCAATACCGCAACACATCCAAGCGAAAAGCGTCAAGTTTTACCAGCAATCTCAATCTACCACTACTCGATCGCAATTCATCAGTAAAAGTAAGTCTCCAATTATTCAGTTTTAATTATATTATAAATCCCCGCAATAAATAACGTTTTCTACTGCTTCCGTAGTGAGAACCAGGGAAAAATTTACAACTTGCGACCCACCGCAATAAAGCGAGTCCATTCCGGGAGTCGGAAGACTCAAACTTCTGCATATTCATCCGTAACTACTAGTAGTAATGATTACCTATTAAGCATACACATAGAAACAGCCATTGAACATACAACTCTTCCTCTTTCCCCCTATCACTTCTCCTCCAGCTACTCTCCGATATATCCTTCTAAATCCCCTTCTCTTGAACCGCCGCTTTCCCCCAATTATTATTCTCTTTATCCACGATCGTCCTTGGCAATTCATCCCCTCCTTCTCCCCTTCCCGAATTAGACGAGTTCGAGAAGGCATTGCAGGATT